TTCCGGAGAATTATAGAATTAGACGCACCCTGTGCGTATCTTCCATTTCATATACAACATCTAAGCTTCTCAAACGGTTCTCTAATCAAATAATCACCATCGAGATACGCCTTTTCGATTGCGCCGAGCGACGATTTATCCGAAAGGCCATTCAATCCATTCAATTCTCTTGCGCATATCGTGGACCAGGTGGTCGAGCGCGTCACCCACTCCTACATGCTTGCGGTCCGCGGTCATTCTTTCCTCCAAACGTACACGGTATCGGTAATTGGCCGGCGTTGTAGTCGGCGGAGAGTCATAACGACACCACCACGGTCCGGGGGTATCGAATCGAACACGCCGCGTTTTCCATAAGCGATAAGCGATCGCGCGGTCCACGTCGCGCGCGTGAGAAGATGCGCCGCAGATGCGGAAGCGCCGCTTGGTAGAGAGCCGCGCGCCACGACGGAACCTAAATACCTATCGCCCGTTAGGCGTGCACGCTCGCGCGCGCGTTTGCACGCTTTGGCGTGCGGAGGTGAGATAAAACGCACGCGGTCCACGTCGAGGTCGCGACGCGTGAGATCGCTGCATGTTGCGGCGAGGAAGAGTAGAAGATAGTGGTGGAGGAGGTGATGGAGAAGGAGGAGGAGGAGGAGGAGGAGGAGGCTCGATGCAACGTTCGTTTGCACGCTCGCACCTGACTCACCTCGTCGCACACAGACACACGCTCACGCACACGTACACACGCTACGTGCGCACACGTGTTTACGGTATTTGATCGTCGTTCACTTAGCACGGCCCAGTGACCCGTATAACCTAAGGTCTGCTTATGATCGAAGAGGTTTCCGTGTATCTTTCCCTTAACGGGACGGTACGGGACCCAATGTTGCATTTCACGAGGATCGTAATAGCCGGTAGTGATAGCCGAGAGTGGCGTATCGAATCCATTAATGATATTCAAATCAATGCAAGTGACTTTTTTAGTGCGCGAGCCTGACTTTTTTCCACTTTACATCGACAACTCCACGGTTGATATCAGAACCGTGTTCACCGAGAGATGAGAATTTAACATTAACCGTATAGTAAAAGGTCTCGGTTCTTGTAATACTTTTCACTGTGTGAATATTTATGATATCTCACGAATCTGTAGAATCTTTTAACAATTCATTTTTCATGAATACACAACTACAGATTCTACATTTAAATTCAATTCTGCATTTCCTTAAAACAAGCAATGTTGTCTCTCCGAGTATAATAAATTTAAATATCTACAAGAATATCAAGAAGAAATCAAGAAGAAAAGAAAGAAAATATATCGATGAGATCAGATTCATCGTCTTTCATGATTTCATGCTTTTTACCATTCCAGAGTGTAAGAGTGATCGCTTCCGCTAGGATCGATAAATGCAACTCTGACTCTTGATGATTTACAGCATTAATCCTGCAACAAGCGTAAAACGCACGTTGCTTTGGCAATTTAGTTTTTACTTCCCACGTATGTTCTGCATGCGTTGCTCGATAACCGATACTTTCGATTGATATAATATGACATGTCGACAGTTCACCTCGCGCTCGACAGGATCTGAAAAATTCGTAATTGGGTCAAGCGTCACGCTCCGGTCGCGTCGCGCATAAAATATTTGTACGCCTGCTTTAAATACCGGCGGCTTTAATGTATATAATTCCCGGATGATGATATATTATAATCTTTTTATGGCTGGCGCAAGTGTGTACATTAGTTAGCGCGTGATTTAACTTTCATTTCCCACGTTAGCCTCCCCGACCGATCGATAACTCAACGTTCGAGAAGTTGCAAAAACGTCCGGTGCTCCTCTGACATATCTGCATTTAGTAAAAGAATAGCAAGCTCTGTGCCATAATTACTCTTTTTCGCCAATTATTTATTATGAATGAGCATTCTTTATCACATTACGATATTCTCAAGATTTATATTCTATTTTTTTAATGGAATTCTATATATTATTCTATATATTATACGAAATTACTTTTTAGAAATCTTTTTATTAAAAAGCAAGTGTCGTTATTTTTATTTTATATTTCTCATTATTATTATTATTACAACAAATGCCTGCTTGGCGAAATCAAACGCTTGAACGTTTTTCAGTGGACATCGCAGGAGACACAAATACCATTCTCTAATCTGTACAATGCACAGATCCGCGTATCCGTTCTTCGCATATTTACTTAGAAATCGCGGCGATGTGCGTGATTCTCGGGCGCGATCTATGCGTGAGATAAATCCGTACTGTACATGATCAGAGTCGATACGCGAAATTCGCTGCCCGCTCCCACATTACCGTCCCACAGACAAGTAGTTTGCACACTCGAAAGATCCGCGTGTTCTGCAGAACCGTATGCACGACATTCGATCGTCGACTCAACTAACGCGGCCCAGTGACCCAAATAAGCCACGGTTTGCTTATGATCGAAGCGGTTTCCGTTTCTCCTCGGACCCAATCATGCTCCTCCGAGAGGTCCACCTTTTTCTTCGCAGAGGCGGAGTCCCCTTCTTCCACATTTCTGATGCTTGTCTGTGCATAGCTTCTGTCTCATATTTACCAACATCATCGGTGAACATCATCCTGACGGTGAACTTCATCTTCATCTTTATCTTTACGATATAATTTCGTGTGCGATAGTTCTTTTAGATAATACGTCCGAGATAATATAAAGTATTGAGTTTCTTGCAAAAAGCATTCTGAGATTGAGAAAATCTCTTGGGATTTCTTTACCTTGATAAGAAGTATATATAAATAATTTTTGAATGATGTTTGAAATTGAAACAATGTTTTTATCGTATAAATCAGATAGTGACAAAAAAAGTTGTTTTTATTTTTCTTCTTAATGTTTTCCCTTGCTTGTCCTGTCCAGTTTTCTTCACAGTATGTTCTCCTTCGACTGCTGCCGTTAATTATCTCCGCATATTTTTCGCTCGTTGCTGCGTAGTGGTGAGACGATTAGCCATTTATCACGTAGACGCGACGCGCACGTAGAAGCGATCTAATTATCGGTAAGATCTTCGACGTGCACGTCGTCGTCGTAAATTCGCTCCAAGAAACGCGCTTCGGTGGACGGCGTGCGTGTGACAGGTGAAACGACCGCGGTGAACGTAAAAGCATTACGGAGGGTGACATCGAACCAGAGATGGTATATGAGTCGGATTATACATATGAGGTTAATTATTAATTAGGAAAAAGAATGAAGAGATCCACAAATAAAATTGAAATTTATCTATCTCTCTCGAACTTTTAATTGGATCGATATTTTATTGTGCAATGATAAAGAATAACAAGATATCTGCCATGTAGAATGTCTCAATTGGATCCAAGATTTACGTTGCTGCAAATCACGGTTGTCGCTTTCGACAACTTGCTTCATACATATTTCTATTTGTATCGTCTCTTTCACGTGAGTGCCTAATTGAGACAAGTGTCTGTAATATATTTTGACATTTCGGGTCTGATATTAGGTCTTGTTGCGTTTTGCAATTTTTTTCTTCATTGTAACTGTCCAATATCAGAAATGTATACCGTTCGAATCGGACGATTAATATGTTCGGAGCGAGCATTAAGTCGTTATAAGCAATAATTCCCCGAACGATACGTCCATCGTTTGTTTGAGAGTTCTGGAGCATGACGGTAAATGTGGCAATACCGAGCGAGAACATGCGTTCGACATGGACCGATCGTTATCAGAGAATCGATTCTGTCATACGATTATTCGGTTACGTCATAATGAAGATCATGCGATTGCATAACGAGGAATATCGCGAGCATCGGTAGAGATCTTCTTGCAGAGGAATTACGTAATTAATCGTGGCAAGAGTTGTCCATCCGCGAGCGCGGTATTATCAATAGACAACGTCTGTTACGCGAATTAATGATCGAAAAGAATGGAAATGATCGAATAGAACAAGATAATCTTGATACATGGATGTGCGTATCCCGTAAATAATATTATTGAATGATTGTCATAAATAATTAAGTAAATAATTCTCGCGTGTTTGCAAACTCACGAATAGGCAAAATCGGGACAAGAAACTTTAATTATCCAGCAAATTTGGATGCGCAGCAATTTTTTACTGTCTACTGTATTAAATATCAACATTCTTACAAGTGTCGAATGAAGTATATACGCTGTTCTTCGAGAATGGATTTGTGTTTTAATGGCTGTTCGATACAAGTTCATCATTACAAGAACTTTTCTGTCAGATTACTTAATGATTGACATTAATTCAAGCGTGACGAGTACATATATATATATAATATGTGTGTGTGGGGGTGGGAGTGGGTAGGTGGGTGGTGGTGTGTGTGTGTGTGTGTGTGTGTGTGTGTGTGTGTGTGTGTGTGTGTGTGTGTGTGTGTGTGTGTGTGTGTGATGTATATACATGTATAAAACATGTATAAAAAAGAAATAGACATTTCTAAGTATGTTTTCGCATCACGAATGTCTTTGAAGGAAAAGTTGCGAGATTCAAGAGAGAGTATAAGATAATTGTTACGAGAGAGTATAAGATAATTGTTACGTTTCACGTAAATTACTTCTTTATTCCTTTTAAGGTCCGTTCCGTTTTAAAGCAGCATTTTATATGCACTGAATCTTGTTTGCGATAGCTTGTTAAAGAATAAGAAATACTAAAACGACTGCAATGAAAAATAGCGCATCAATCAATTGCACCATCACAACTTATTAATTCATTATTCTTATTTCCAATGTTGATGTCAAAAAGAAAATCGTAATAAAATAAAAATAATTTAGTCTTTTGAATGGATTGAATGTTTAAAATATATTTTTTTCGCATTTTTTTAAATTTATTGAAACTAATTTCTATCAATGACTTATATATAAAATATACAATATGTTTTTCTAACAAAAATTAAAAAAAAATTTTTAAATTTCCTATAATAGTTATTGACTTTTAATTGATTTAATTAATATTTTATTAATATTTTACAAATCATAGTTAATATATTTAAATTTAACTTATTTAATTATAGATATTATCGTGGCTTTGCAAGAAGGGCGAAGATATTCTATCGAAGCACGCACAACATACAGCGACGAACTTGACGTCGGCACGTCTTCATGAGCGAGAATTTGAAAAATTTTATTTTACGTCGATGGTAAGTAACATGCGCGTTGATTGTCCTATAGCAGTTAATGGAATCGAAAGGAGACCCCAAGAGCCCCAAGAGGAATCGAGTCGTTCTCCTAAGAGAAGATTTCACTTTTTTCGCGACCCATTGAACCGCCCGTCACGCTTCGATGCGAAAGAAATTCCGTCGCGAAGGACTCGAAAGGTGGCTGCAATAAGCGCGAGATAATAAAAGATTCCTTTGTGACAGGCGGACTGTTGCAAAGACTTCTTCCAAGTGTCCGCACTTCCTTCTTTTTTTATTTATCTACCAACAGAATGAAGGAGTAACGCGGAAGGAGTCGCGACGACGTGTCGAAAAAGAGGAAGACGAAAATGATTATTCCTCGCACCTGTAGACTCAATATGGTCAGGTTGAAAGCGCATTCTCGAAATAGAGGACGACACACGATGATAAAGATATTCATTGAACTTTAGCTACACATTCATTCTTGATATTTGTAGATATTTGTGCAAATTAAATTCATAAGAACAGGATTTTAATTTCTTATCTGAATAAATTTATCTCTTGGTTTTGTGGAAGTATTGCAAACACTTCTCGTGCTTTTTATGAAACATATTTGATCCTCTGTTTGTATTAATTTTCTTTTTAAATTTGTTTTTGATAATTAAAGCAAAAAGATAATTGTTAAAATATGAATGAATTTTTGAAAATTGATAAATATTAAGTTATTTTCACGAACATTTCACAAATAACTGCGCGCTCCATATCCATATTTAATAATTTAAAATAGACGCAACAAATCGTTATATTACAATATTTAATTGTTTTCTACTCAGTCGGTAAGATTTTTTTTATATTTCCTTACTACATCTAACATTATATTAAACATATATTCATCTTTTATAAAAATATATTCTGAAATACTTTATTTCTTATATGAAACTGTTTAAAATTGAGATACTAACAATAATTATTAATAAACCGGTTTTTAACTATTCGATCGTTAGAGCTCTCTCTATGATCGGTAAGTCAATCGGCTAATCTTGTGGCGCCGTCTGCTGGGGTTTCTTTCGAATGTTTCACAAACCGATACAAATCTTCACAACCGACGGAGCATGGCGCGTAAATTAAAATAGATTATAGATGAACTGTAACGGCAATAATTATCTTCATCTTGACACTTGCCGCCTAGTTAATCGATAGAATCTTGCTGACGTTGTGTAATGGGTCGATTTGATCGCAGTCATTAATTTAAAGACACGGAGGCCTCTTTGAATAAGTTCCGCAATTAAAGTCATACACCTACTACCTGGTAAGATGGATGATGGAGAGTCGATTAACACTTTCATACGACGGGTGAAACTTGAATATTCACTACTAAGTGCATACCGATGTCTTCCTTTATCAATTGATGGCGCGGTAGCACATCACTGGAAGCAGGTTCTTACTTCCGTCCTTTGATAACGAGTATTGATAGGACTTGTTAGATTTTGACCTTTCAACTGACGGTGATTTCTCGAAACTTTCACGGATTCATACAATACTAAATAATTTCTTAAACATTTCTGAATGTTTTGTTAACAATTGAAGCAACGATTTAAAAGGCTACTGCTTAATTAATAATTGATTTAAATTCTAAAATTTCGTTGAGTGGGGGAATCGACTTTAAATTTGATTATTGATATATTAAGAAGAAGGGAATTTAGGTATAGCTTTGAGCGGACTTACAAGTTCGGTAATTTAACGACACGTAGTTCGTTATAAGCTCGATATAAGCATTTACCTTGAATTTATATTAATTCAACAAGGAAAAATTATTCGACACTAAGACTCTGCCGATTAATGCTATCTATGATTTGATTGATTCTTTTTTTTTTACATATTGATTACTTATATTTGAAATAAATAATTTAATTGTTTTGTAATTGTAATTTTATTTTCATAGAGAAATAGCACAAAGTGAAAGTTCATGTTTGACGTCGATGATAATCGCGCTACATGCAAATGCTAAAATATTCGAGAGATAAAAAAAAGCTGTGATCAGACAGCACACATTTCCGTGAGCTTAATTAAACGCGATTACGTGAAATTTGGTATGGCAATTAAGCGAGTCGGACGATCGTAAATGTTACGCTATATCGATGTTACGCGACAAGTTAGCGCGTGGCCCTCGTTGCCAATAACACGTTGGCTCTCGATCGTGTCGTGGAAAATTTATTGCGAAAGAAATCGGCGTTCCGCGGGCATTTTTCCTTTTTGCGAAAGACTAAACTTTCTCTCGGCGATGTAGTGCCGAAGTATTACGCGTAGCACAGACAGTTTCAGGGCGCAATAAAGGCCCATCGATGATCCAACGGACAGTTGTTACTTAATTAATCAGTCTCATGGCGATGTGAAACGTCGGGCGAACGGTCAGCGAGATATAAAAGCCGGTCGGCCGGCGCAACGGTCGATTATACGTGGACGTTAATTAATCACGTTGCACCCACTTCAATTATCCGTTTTATGCAGGATGCGTGGGTCATTATCCAAAAACGTACCCATCTTTCGTGCCCTCCTCCTTCATCTTTTTTCTTTCTCTTACCTCTTGTGCGGCCCAATGACCCGCATTGCTACCCACACACTGTCATAATTGTCACCGATTATTGCAGCGATGTTCAAAAAGCGCATTATTTGGGTCATCTTGACGGAACTGGAACGGACTTATTGGCGATTTATTATTGAACGATCCGCGCGCGTTTCGATTCTGCACGATGGAATATGGAGCATCGAGTAATTACATGACATTGCTCGACGGCGGGAGCATCACAGTGTTGAAATCGCAGTTTAATGATGCTGAAAATCGCGTCCATTTAACTTAACTTTAGGAAAACGCGAAATATCGCCGGACTCTATGTTTTCGGTAATCAACATTCGGTACCGGTCGATTTGTATTGCGCAGCGCAGTTTTTACGGTGTTAAGATAATCGTATTTTGCAACAACGGTTTCAAGATCACTTCGGTTTTTTTCCATGAATATTTTCCATACGAATTGTATTGCGCTAATGTTCGCGACCATTAACGACAGGCAGCGTACAATGCAATTGCTGATAAGAACGTGAAAATTATCATAAACCTTGAATGAGGTAAGCGACGAAAAATAGCTCGAGTCAAAGTACAAAACGCTGTTAACACAACAGGATAACCTCGAGGGACCGTCTAATTGGGCTCGGAGGAGCATTCGTAACAATGTACGGTCGTTCTCGTAACCCAATTACATATAGCGCACCGCCACGCCGGCAGAAAAGGCGAGGAACTCACACCAGGCATAAGAACGAAGCACCTTATGTCGGCATCTACAATGGCGACGATTGCGACTCGTGAAATGACGACCGATTTTACTGCTCGGAAAGAAATTCCAAGTTTAGAAACCGCCGCGCCGTTCCTTCGCGAATCGCAGCATGGTCGCGCGCGATTGTCGCGAGCGTGTCCCGTGAACGCTCGACATCGAGTGTAATGCACTCTGAGGAATTTGGTAACGATCGATCGATCGTGAAAGTAGCAAGAGTCGCGCGACCGAAATGCAACTCAATGTAAACGAAATCGGAATCTTACTCGCGACATTTGTTAAATATTCGATTAACTCCATTGTTCCTAAAACGTGTATTGAAAAAAATGATTAACACATTGAAGTATTTGATTTAAAATATTCGGAACAGATTTCGCGCAATAACTATTTAGTTAATCAAATCAAATAACTTACATTCTTGAATGAATATATGAATAGAGTGCAATTTTGTAACCGCATGTGCTTAGCCAAATCTTACAAGTTTGCAAACTTGAAGTCAAAATTTTTTTCTACTTTTGATCTGAATTAGAACCTTTACAACAGATCTCTTGATTTATTTAATATTTTTATTTAGGATTAGACAGAATTCTATTAAAAATAATTGAAAATTTCTCTTTTGAATCTCAAAATACAAAATTATTCATTTTTTACTTATTTCAAATGCAAAGTAGGAGTTCATTTATATAAAATAAATTTCTATCGCAATCCTGTAGACCTTGAAAAGCTTAAAACAAAAGTAAAAAAAAAAAAATAAATGATAAATCATGATTTATCAATTTATGAGTATGTTTTATACATATCTTTGTAATGATTTAACATGTGATTTGACAGTGATGTCGATACGAATCAGCTGTACTATTCAAATAATATCAAATGTGATTATTATATACTATAATAATTACATTAATATGTACGCATACGAGAGATACTCACTGAACAGCTACAACATTACATTCGGCCAGCGTGCTTTTCGATACCACCATTGTTGAGCGCGCGTCATGAATCGCGATCGGGAAACCATTTCAAAATCCAATTGCAAAAGCGCGAATCGGCACAAGGCGGTTATGCTCGTTAGCTCGCCGTACTCTCTTACTCGATGTGCAACTTTCCATCATAATCGGTCGTCACGCGATAATCAAGACGACGATGTGCTGACCGCTATCTGATGTGCCGCATAGTCGGAACATCCTTTTCGCAATACTTTACTTTAAGTATTTTTATAAAAATCCAGGTCGCAATTATCGAGATACTTCATTTACGTTGAGTCGACCTCAACTGGTTGGAACCCCAACTGGTCAGTCGAGACGATAACGGATCATTAAATGAGTTCAAGAATTAAATCTTTGATTCTCGAAATTAAAATAAACAAAGTTTGTAGAAAGAAAGAGAGAGAGAGAGAGTAGTTTAAGAAAATTAAAAAAATTAAGCAGGATACT